TGAATGTTTGGACAAATATTGACCATTATATTTGTGAGTAAATACCTGTTGTTTAATTAATTTCCACCTCTACAAGGTTGTTAAATTGAGAGAATAAATGTGTCGACAAATATTTGATACTTATTTAGGTGTAAGAACTCGTGTTTGACCAACTTCCACCATTGCAAGTTGTTAAAATAATGAAATAAATATACTGGTATCATTGGATATTTGATTGAATTGTGAAACTTTCTAACAAAATGTTAACTGCTGGCTTCGATCGCTCAATCAACAATTCCGCAGACACAGTATAAATTCCACAACACCACAGAAGATATTCGTCTGTTGCCTGAATTGTTTTCGTAATATAGGGAACGCCATCCACACTTTAACAAAACTTACCTTGACTTGGGTCTTGTTTATCTCTTGTCACAATCTGGAAACTGTTGAACAAATTGCGCGTCGTCCAGTTTAAGACGCAAGTTATTTTATTATTTATTTATTCATTCAATTTTGTATGGTGGAGTTTTGTGAGGTTTATTATTTTTTCGCGACGTTTTTTGTTTACTTGTTTACGGTTTGAGAGATTTCAGTTTATTTGATTTACGTGTATACGGTAGCTCTGAGCGGGACTCGAACCCACTGCCTTTTCAAGCTAATTTTGATGACACGCTTGTGTACCACGCCACGACGTTGGTCGTTAAGTGGTGTTCATTTTTCTAACTACTCCAGTGTTCCGATGAGTTGAACGGAAAAGTCAAAACGATTGCTGGTTTCTGATTGCTTCGGTTCTGGTGAGTGTGTATCTAGTGTGATTCGAACCCATGTCGTTTGTATTAGGCGTTTTTTTATTTCCCATGTTGGCTACGCCGTAATATGCAACCACTTCCCCGTTTTATTGTGATTTTGAGAGTGTTTAATGATGTCTTCCTCACCCGTCACGCCATGACCCAGTTTCAACCACACGGCCATTTTGCAACACAGTGCGTGACCCTCGGCGTCACCCGACTGACTATATGAGCGTTCTGTTCAACTGTTAAGCTAGGATTTATTACCGTTATTATCATTATATTGTCACATGGTTTGTTTTGCCTTATGTGTAATGTCTTAAGTATCTTTATTGTAATTTGTATATACCAATTCGTATATACCGAGGAAACGACCCCGATTGAAGGTCATGTATTGTGTGACGTCACCAATTCGTGTGTAGGTACGGCTTCTAGATCCGTGCCGAGAAATTTGGTTTAATGTGTTTGGGTAATTATCATACAACCATTTGTGAATGAAATACATTGGAATCAAATTCCCTTTTTATTTATATTGTCGCTTAATATATTATAAACCC